ATGGAGGTGAACGTAACGCGTTCGAATGAAAAAAGGGGGTTGAAAGGGAGAGGGGTTTGGTTCCGTGGAATAAATCCGCTCATGCTCAGCGTGCACGCGCCGGCAGGAACGACAACCGCTAGTACGTACACCCGCGGGATTTCCATAATTTGAATTGTAAAAGTATTCGGCCGCCAATTGCAGCCTCCGAATTTATACAGTCCGCCCCCGTGCTGGCTATCCCTTTCGCGACGCCCTTGAGGGAGACTTCACACGAAACCGAATATCAATACGTGCTTTCGATTCTCCGTCTTCTACGGCCTTTCGAAATCCTTTCGCCTCGAGTGTATTGGAATCCGACGCTTAGAGTCTCGCGAGGAATGGAGAAGCGGTCTTTGATGATAGGGCATGAAAATTGTAATTGAGAATTGAAGATAGCAGTTACGAGGGGCTGACTTGACTCACGTCATCGCGATCGTTTTGAATCATTTCCCACTAAAAGATACGACTCGAAAATGCCGTTGAAACGGACAGGTTTTCTCAAGCACAGATTTACGCACAATTTATCAACAACTTTATAGTAGATGTACGTATAACGTTACAATCTTTTTATGCCTGATTCTATGATTTCTCAAAGCACAACCGTAACCGTATATATTTCTTTCTGTCGGAAAAGAACCTACGATAGACTACGGGCAAATATTCAAAGAAACAAAAAAGAACACGCGCCCATCCAATCTTAAGTTTCAGAATTTATTTCAATTCAAAGTGAGTGCTGAAAATGGTGCCTAAAGGAACGACTGCGCTTTTCCCTCCGCGTATGACACATCTGCACCACCTACAGCTAAGCATGCGATCGTATAAAGAACCCGAGATTTGCAATCTCTGGGGACGTGTACGTGACACTTAATAACCGAAGTCTTGAGGCAAAGACATTTTTAATCATTCCCACGGAGAATCATGGCGAGGAGCAAAGATTGCTACCGATTCGGGACGTACGGGCAAGACGACATCGAGGGACGCATTCTCCACCATGTCTCCATTTTCCGTTCGATTCTCGCGTGTGCCATCCCCGGGGACCGCGAACGAGAAGTTTCGACGTTGAAAAATGCAAACTGCGTCCTCGACGAGGTGCGTAGGTTCCTTCGTTTTGCCCCGGGAATATTTGCCGGAGCTTTTTTTGGCACGGTTTCTTATAGGATAGGTGTACGGTGGGAATCCGAAGAATTATTATCGTCGAAAGACGCCTCCGCATCCCTTGCCTCTGTCTATGATTTGTCAACCAGACCGTGAACGTGTTCGGAATGCCTTCCTCTCGATATTTCTGCTAAAATATCCCGTCTTCACGTCCGAGCGGGACAAGAACGAGAAATGGAAGCCATCGAAGGACTGTGATTCGCGAAGTATTACAATACTTGTTAGTTTTACGATTGCTTCGCTCGAATTACGGATCTACTATGGGGTGGGGGGGGGG